TACTACTGATGCTGCTACTACTGATCTGCTGCTGATGCTGCTACACTGCTGCTGATGCTGCTGATGATGCTGCTACTGCTGATGAGATGCTGCTGCTGATGCGACGGATCTCCCCACCATCACTCACATGCCACCTGTGGGAGCTGCTTGCTGCTGCTGCTGCTCACGCTGATGACAATACTGCCGCTGATGCTGCTGCTGATTATATGATGATGATGATAAAATTAACCCGTAAAACAAGTTTTTCACTCTAAATCCTTTATATGCGTGGCGGCTAGAGTCCTCTCGTCCTCTGGCTTGAGATGGCTGCCACCTATGGTCAGATGATTGCCTGCCAGCATTAGCAATTGGTAATAAAAAAAAAATTCCCTAAACAGTGTAAAATTTTGGGGAAAAAATTTCACGAAAAAAAATTGTCACGCACAACGAGTCTGTGTGCAAAATGTCAGCTCGATTGGATGACGGGAATGGGTTAAAAAACGACCGAAAGATTTGCACGGTCGTAAGCGCGCAAGCAAGCAAGCAAGTGAACTTAATATAAAGGATTTAAAAATAATCCCCTCTCCCTCCCCCTATGGACTAGGGAGCGAATCGTCGGGAACGGATGTGCTAATTGCGTGCCGAGCTGCAGGATTCGTTCGCGCAGCCTCTTCGCGGAGGAGAATTCGAAATAATAAAAGCGTTCGACGTGGGAAAACAGCGGGGAAGCGGTGGATGAAGTGTTGTTGTTGTTTGTTGTTATTGGGTGGTTAGAGAGATCGCGGAGATGATGATGTAGATGTGTGTCGTGACCCACCCTCCACCCGACACACAGCCGAGCAAGAAACTATTTTAAAACTAAAGGTTTTTTTTGTCTTGCCAGGTAAGCGGTTATGTACGTACATTGAACTTATTTCACAGCGTACGTAGTCTGTGGGTCTCTGTGTGAGTCTATGGTATCTGTGTGAGTCTATTAGTCCTGTATGAGTCCTGTGGGTCTCTGTGTGAGTCTGTGGGTCTCTGTGTGAGTCTATGGGTATCTGTGTGAGTCTATGGGTCTCTGTGTGAGTCTATGGGTTTATGTGTGTGTCTATTAGTCTCTGTGTAAGTCTGTGGGTCTCTGTGTGAGTCTATGGGTCTCTGTGTGAGTCTATGGGTCTCTGTGTGAGTCTGTGGGTCTTTGTGTGTGAGTCTATGGGTTTATGTGTGAGTTTATTAGTCTCTGTGTGAGTCTGTGGGTCTCTGTGTGAGTCTATGGGTTTATGTGTGTTTCTATTAGTCTTTGTGTGAGTCTGTGGGTCTCTGTGTGAGTCTATGGGTTTATTGTGTGTCTATTAGTCTCTGTGTGAGTCTGTGGGTCTCTGTGTGAGTCTATGGGTCTCTGTGTGAGTTTACGGGTATATGTGTGTGTCTATTAGTCTCTGTGTAATCTGTGGTTCTCTGTGTGAGTCTATGGGTTTCTGTGTGAGTCTGTGGGTCTCTGTGTGAGTCTATGGGTCTCTGTGTGAGTCTGTGGGTCTCTCTGTGAGTCTATGGGTCTCTGTGTGAGTCTATGGGTGTCTGTGTGAGTCTATGGGTCTCTGTGAGTCTATGGTCGTCTGTGTGTGGTCTATGGATTTCTGTGAGTATATGGTGGTCTGTGTGAGTCTATGGATCTCTGTATGAGTCTGGGTCTCTGTGAGTCTATGGTGTGTATGTGAGCCTATGGGTCTCTGTGAGTCATGGGTGTCTGTGTGAGTCTGTGGGTCTCTGTGTGAGTCTATGGATCTCTGTGTAAGTCTATGGGTGTCTGTGTGAGACTATGGGTGTCTGGTGTGAGTCTATGGGTCTGTGTGTGAGTCTATGGGTGTCTATGTGGCCTATGGGTCTCTGTGAGTCAATGGGTGTCTGTGTGAGTCCTCTGGGTCTCTGTGCGAGTCTTGGTTGTTGATGCGAGTCACTGGTCTCTGTTGTCTGTGTGAGTCTATGCTCGTGCGTTGAACTTCGTTCACACCGTACGTAGGCAACCGTACAACACACGTATGACCTGCTATCAGGCACACATCGGGGGGCCAGGGTTAGCGTCTAGTTTCCGCAGGGGCTTATAAACCGGACACTGGTGTTCTGTACGGCACTTTTACTTGTTTTCATTGAATACAGCGGCACGCAAATGAACTGATTAAAAATATGCGCACTTTTTTGCCATGAATATTGATTCGTTCCACGACTAATTATTATACTTCTGGGCGAGGGCGGGAGGGGTGCATGTGCACGCGTGCTGCCAATGCACGCCGCTGGGCTCCTGCGCTATATTGGAGAAACGGAGGATTAATTTGCATACTTAGAGAGACGGCTCAATTCATTAGTTAATTCCAGTTAATTCAGTTAGTCAATTATTAACGGCAAATTCGGAACCCACATTTGATTCGTATGGCCGTACCCGTGGTACGAATGACACAGAATGAGCCGAGGCAATTAAATATTTTATTTCTGGGACACTTTTTTCCATTTAAAGCTTTCGTGACTACAGGAATTCATCTTGGTTCTTTCGGTAAAGTCACGTAGAAGGGAAGTAATAAAATAATAAAATAAACATAATAAATATTCTCACGACGTTTCGGCCACAGCGCAAGCAGCCGTCCTCAGGTGAAGACATGTCTGTCGATAAGACAAACTCTAAATTACACGTCTTAGCTTGGAGTGTCTATTTAAGCTGTTTAAGCTGTCAAGGCTCTCCTCCTCACAGCTTAAATAGACACTCCAAGCCTAAGACGTGTCATTTAGACTCTGTCTCATCGACAGACATGTTCTTCACCTGAGACGGCTGCTTGCGTTGTGGCCGAAACGTCGTGAGAATTATTCATTATGTTTTATTTTTATTATTTTATTACTTCCCTTCCACGTGACTTTACCGAAAGAACCAAGAAGATGACTTTTTTTCCAGGTCCGTAACTCAACTCCGCGACTGGGTTACCATCAATCCGAAATCGGTGCCACACTCCGCGATGTCGAAACGCAGCGAGGATGACGATTGCGCCGAAACTCTGAACGCTCGTAGTGCAGAGGTCGCAACCGGGTACCCAATACGCGTACCCTACCCGATACCCGGCTACCCTGGTGCGGCCGGATACGGGTACGGGTAGGCCGTGAGTCACTAGTGAGTAACCGAAAGAACCAAGAAGAGTAACCGTTTGTCACTCATTTGGGTAGGGTACGGGTAGAATACGGCTACCTGTACCCGCCGGGTACGGGTACCCATTTGCGACCCTGGTACGGCCGGGTACGGGTACGGGTAAGGAATCAAAACACGTTTGCGACCTCTGCCCTAGTGGTGCATCGTAGTGCACAGCTCGTCGAGATGAGTCGATTGCCGCATCGCCGACCATCGACAGACTAAAAACGACTGCGTCACGGACATTGTGCGAGAGCCGGGGTGCTATGGTACAAGGCCGTAATTATAAAATATATTGGGGGGGGGGGGGGGGGGGCGGGGACACACATCCCCCCAGATAAGATGGTCCAAAAATGTGTAGTTAAATCTTTTTTGCATGGTTAATAACATCTTCCAATAATGAGTGTTTCACGAGAGGGGGGGTGGGGGGGACCGCCAAGAGGCAATCGCCTTTCCCATACAGAAGGAAAATGTGAGAATTAGTGCCACCTGCTGGCAAGCCAGGGCATGGCACATTCTAGATTTGAATCTTTCGTGACTGCAAGTATTCATATTATTAGGTTTTTTCGGTAAAGTCACGTAGGTTAAAAAATAAAAAAAATAAAAAAAATCACGACTACGTGACTTTATCGAAAAAAAAAACCAAGAATATGAATAAGTATGGCACATTGACAACCACGGAATGGGAGTTGGGAAGAGATGGAGATTAATCTTAATTTTGGAGCTTTCGTGACTGCAGGAATTATTCTTTGGTTCTTTCGGTAAAGTCACGTATAAAGATAAAATAATAAATTAAATAATAGCATACGACGTTTCGATTGCTACACAAGCAATCATCATCAGGTATAAATGAAATAGCGACACAAAATCTAACCAGAAAACCACAAACAGACATATAAGCAGACAGATATCACCAAGATACACAGGGAGAGCAACACAGGTACAGAGAGGGGTGATCGTCTCTGTGGGGTGGCCTTAAATAGACAGAGGGGGGCGGAGGCAGAGAGAGGTGGGGTTAGAGAAAAAAATTACATGTCAATGAGTACGAAGAGACGCGTAATAAAGTACGCAGGCTTAGAGGGAGAAAGAACACACTAAATTAAATAACCTAGCAAAGTATCGAAATGTTATGTGAAACGACACAGAGAGTCGGTCAACACACAATTAACGCATAGCCTGGTCGATTACGTATTTCAAAGATTGCTAAGTTAGAATTTAAGTGTGAAAATTCCAAAGAAAGATTAGTCCACGCTTTGCGGTGCCGCGTTCTCCGGCCAGCGCCAGGGTACGGCTTCAGAATCAGAATCTTTATTTACAGGAATCCGATGAGCTGTGAAGCTCTTTCTGACAGATGTCCATTAGGGGCTGGTCAGAAGGTTACAACAACAAACATTACACAAACACGACAGGAGTGAAAAGTGCAGTATAAGGAAGGTAAACAAATGTCCAGACACCTACAAATCAAACTAAACCATCCCATCATGCCAGGCAAAGCCCACTGAGGCATTAAGGGGCCGTCCATAAATGACGTCACGCGATATTGGGCGATTTTTGACCCCCCCCTAGTCACACGGCGTCACAAAAAGTCACACCCCCCCTCAAAAATGACGTCACGAACCTCTGCCCCCCCCCCCCCCCCTAAAACAAATTTTTTTTTTAATTTACAATGTTTTTAATGTTGTGGTTTCACGCTTCAACACACCGGTGGGCTAAAGCAGTGAACTGTTTGTCTTTTGTCAACGTGACACTTTTTTACTAATTGGCCGTGTCGGGTGGTGGAGGGTTACGACACATTTATAAATAACGCGATCTAAACCTTAACACCTACAGAATGGGACCTTGTTTTTGCCAGTATCAAAGAATGAAAAAAAAACAAGAATAGGTTTTACCCTTTCTGGCAATAATACAGGAGGTGTCAAGATGTTTTGTTGCCAGAAAGGGTAAGAACTGTTTTTGTTTTTCATACTTTTGTAATGGCAGTACAGCTCCCCGTGTCTATTAATTAACATGATTGAACAGAAAGGGTCAAGTAAGGGTAATTTGGTCGTTAATACTGATTGATGACGGGCACTAATTTTAATTTTATTTTTTACCTACGTGACTTCACCGAAAAAACACAAGAGTATGAATCAGAGGTGGGACAAAGTCATTGTTATGCAAGTCCAAGTCGAGTCTGAAGTCATCAAATTCATGACTCGAGTCTGACTCGAGTCCAAGTCACATGACTCGAGTCCACACCTCTGGTATGAATCCTTGCAGCCACGAAAGCTTCAAATCTAGAATTGCTACATTACACTTTGATACTGGCCAAAAAGGTCCCATTTGTAGCTGCTCACCCCGAGCTATAAATGTCCTAATACGTGTGGCATTGTCTTGGTACTGTTTGCCTTTGGGCGTTCTCCGGTCTGATACTGGTGAGACCACGACCTAAAGAAGGCTGTCACCGGAGTAGGCCAATCCGTTTCAAAGACAATCCAAATGTTATCGGAGCGTGTTTGTTTGCATTTTCACCACAAGCGCGCGTGGATAATGCAGACTCGATTCATTCGCAAACGGTTTCTATTTGGTGTTTGAACATCTGTACACCTCGTGTTTTATCGCCAGCGCTGTGGGGCCACTTTGTTGAGCTTCTATCATTTTTGGCAGAGGTCGCAACCGGGTACCCGATACCCGTACCCTACCCGACACCCGGCTACCCGTACCCGGCCGGGTACGGGTAGCCGTTTGCGACCCTGGTGCGGCCGGGTACGGGTAGGCCGTGAGTCACTGGTGAGTCACCGTTTGTCACTCATTTCGGGTAGGGTACGGGAACGGGTAGGGAACGGGAACCCGTACCCGGCCGGGTACGGGTACCCATTTGCGACCCTGGTGCGGCCAGGGTACGGGTACGGGTAAGGAATCAAAACCCGTTTGCGACCTCTGATTTGTGGTGAAAGATAAGTGAATGCCTCAGTGGGCTTTGCCTGGTAGGATGTGGATGGTTGAGTGTTGTTTTTGTTTGTGTTTGGGTGATTTTTTTTACCTTTCTTGCACTTTGCACTCCTATCGTGTTTTTTTTTTACTTTTGTTGATGTAAAGTTCTGACCAGCCCCTACTTGACATCTGTCAGAAAGAGCTTCATAGCTCATCGGATTCCTATAAATAAAGATTCTGATTCTGAAGCCGTACCCTGGCGCTGCACGGGAAAACGGGGCACAGCAAAGTGTGGACTAATCTCCATCTCTTCCCAACTCCCATTCCGTGGTTGTCAATGTGCCATACCTTGGCTTGCCAGCAGATGGCACTAATCCCCACAATTGTATTCTGTATGGCATCGGCGATTTCCCCTTGGCAGGATTGCTCCCCCTTTGTAAAACACTTATTAACTGGCCGTATACGGGAACTTCTCTACTTAAGAACATTTTACTTACGAACTTTCAGAGATACAAACAAACCTGCCTACATGTCCAGTAGCAGCTGTTCGGACCGAGAGTCGTAAGTTCAACCGCCGCGCAATAGATGGCAGCGGTGGCATCTACATCTGCAGAACGTGAAGAACCAGTGGCATCTACATCTACAGAATGTGAAGAACCAGTGGCATCTACATCTACAGAACGTGAAGAACCAGTGGCATCTACATCTACAGAACGTGAAGAACCAGTGGCATCTACATCTGCAGAACGTGAAGAACCAGTGGCATCTACATCTACAGAACGTGAAGAACCAGTGGCATCTACATCTGCAGAATGTGAAGAACCAGTGGCATTTACATCTACACAACGTGAAGAACCAGTGGCATCAACATCTGCAGAACGTGAAGACACCAGTGGCATCAACATCTGCAGAACGTGAAGACACCAGTGACATCTACATCTGCAGAACGTGAAGACCCAGTGGAATCTGCAGAACATAAAGGACATTACACAACTTTCAAAACCATTCCCCGTGTTTAGTGCACATGCTGTACAACATGTTTGGAATCGACAAGGGTAAAGTTGGACTTACTAACAAATCGACTTACGAACAGTACCTCTGGAACCTAACTCGATCGTGAGTAGAGGAGTCTCTGGAGCATCGCCCGTAGCTTCGCGTCATCGCGTCGCCCCATAGCATCACCAGTAGCGTCACCCCATCGTAGCGTCGCCCCATAACGTCGCCGGTAGCGTCGCCCAAAGCGTCACCCTGTAGTGTCGCCCGTAGCGTCACCCCGTAGCATTTCCCGTAACCCGTAGTATCGCCCATAGCGTCGCCCCATCATATCGTTGTCCCGTAGCGTTGCCCATAACCTGTCGCATCGCCCATAGCGTCGCCTATAGCGTCGCCCCATAGCGTCTCTCTTTAGCATTATGCCGTAGCATCAGCCAGTAGCGTCGTCCCATCGTGTCGCCCGTAACGTCACTTCGTAGCATCGTCCCATAGTGTTGTCCCATAACGTCGCCTGTAGAGTCGCCCTGTAGTATCACCCCTAGTGTTGCTGCATCGTAGCCTTGACCATAGTGTCGCCCTGTAGCGTCGCCCATAGTATCGCCCTATTGTATCGTCGCCCCATCGGAGCGTCGCCCTATTGTAGCTTCACCCCGTAGTTCTAGATTTGAAGCTTTCGTGACTGCAAGGATTAATATTCTTAGTTTTTTTCGGTAAAGTCACGTGGGTAAAAAAATTAAATTAATAAAAGACGGTGCCACCTGAAGACAGAAGCTTGTGTTGCCTCCGAACGTCGTGATTTTTATTTTTCATTTTATTTTACTTTTATTAATTTAAATTTAAAATTTTTTTACCTACGTGACTTTACCGAAAAAAAACACCTAAGAATATTCACCCCGTAGCTTCGCACCCCGTTGCCCCGTCGACGCGAGGCGGGAGCGAGCCGGTGGGCGACCTCTCGGTCTCTTGTGCA